GTCCAGGCAAGGGGACTCTCTGTCTCCTAACATCCCGATCCACGGTATGTTCTCGTCACTCCCGGTGACGTGACGCCATTGGTGACGTGACGTGCGCTCGTTGCCGCCCACAACCTATTCGATTATGCTGCTCCATTTGATCACTTTGTTGCTCATCTCATTCTCAGTTCTTATCTCTCGTACACCCTTCTATCTAGTTTCTATGTTTGTTAATTCTAGCAATGTTAAAGAACTCTAAATTTGAACTGGTGGAGTAGGGGTATGAAGACAGCTCGTCAATCGTCTGGCTTTAGGTTGGACAAAGCTTGAATAGACACTCTCCCCGCACTGAAGAGATTCTGCCCATCTTATGTTCTTCCCTGTTCAACGCAACATAAGATGTGTAGCGGATCTACACCAGAACTTGGGTCTGCGTGTGAAAATGTCGCGCGTGCGCAAATGTGCGTCTGCGTCTGCGTTTTCACGTGCCAGGCGTGCGTGAAACGGAAAGTGTACAGAAGTGAACTTCGTTACAACCAGTGTCAATTCCATTTGAGGGCAGAGATACTGAACCCAAGAGCTGCCACAGTTTCGTCTTTTCTGCACATAACAGGCTGTTATTAGAAGCTTTATGTCAAAGCGCTCTGCCCTCTTCTGGACTCTATTCGCCGTCACTATCAGCTTCGGTGCGAGCACTGGTAGTCGCACGCTGCTAAGGATATCTCACCGTGGAGTCCCACTCGACATTCGTCATGTACCAAGAATGATGGCACAGGCTCTCGCGGCCTCTGACGGAACGGTACAATCTCTCAGTCAAGATGATCTTGATTGTGAACGATGCTTCGCACAAGATGAGATGGTCTATGACTTGAAGGCATTGGGGGTACAAATTATAGACTCCAGATGTCCGGCTGGTCAAAATCAAATTCTGAACTACTTGAGGAAAGCAAATCATATGTTGAGCATCGACTTCGATTGCGAGCCCGACTCGAGGGTCACTCTGTATCCGGCCTTCACCACGGACACGGCCAAGTGCACTGGTGGCGATCCTGTTCTCGGCACAAACGACCCAGGTTCTTCATGCCAGCGTAACCTCGAGGTTATCAATTTAGGCGCTGCTTTTGAAGCGGCTCGCTCAGCCGGACGGAAGCTGAAGGATGTTGTGTTGGCTATCAGCGACACTGGCGTTGACATGACTCATCCTGATCTGGTCACTCAGTTCTGGAGGAATCATTACAATAATATCGGCTACAACTTCATATCCAACAATACTAATGTAACTGATGACCATGGTCACGGTACTCACTGTGCTGGTATCGCAGCAGCTCAGACTAACAATTGCATTGGTATCGCAGGGGTGGCAAATATAGATGGGTCTGCGCCAAAAGTCAAGCTGATGATACTCAGGTTCATTAATGCCACCGGAAATGGATCTAAGAGTGACGCACTGAGAGCCCTCAACTTCGCGGTTGCAAAGGGTGTAGCAGTCTCCTCTCATTCCTACGGGTGGTATGATGAGAGTGAGATTCTGAAGACCGCATTCAAGAACGCCGCTGCTGCTGGGCATTTGGCCGTTTTTGCGGCTGGAAACGACGGGGCCAATTTGGAAAATGTGACGGATTATCCGTGCTCCTACGCTAACGAAACGTCACCAATGCTCTGTGTGGCCGCCAGTACTTCCGATCCAACCGAAACTATCTCTCTCGCCTCTTTCTCGAATGCTGGTTCTGCAACGAAGGTTGCCGCACCCGGTGTTAATATTTATTCAACTATCTTAGACGGGCACTATGGTTATATGACTGGTACATCGATGTCGACTCCTACGGTTGCCGGTGTCGCGGCTTTGCTGGGTACGCTCGGTCTAGATAGCCAAGAAATAGTGGACACTATTATCAAGTCTCGGACCAATGGTTTACCGAATAACCTTGGGGTATCTGATATCGGGGAAATAAATGCCTACAAAGCAGTCCAAATAGCTCTGAGCTTGCCGGCTACACGGTATTGATGCTCCATCAGTCTGTGCGGCATAGGGCGTCACCTTTCTGTAAATGGATACAGACTTTCTCCTTGTGCTTGCATACAACGGTGTGAGCATAGGGTACATTCCGTACTATTGATTTTGAGCATTGAGCGTTCCTAAGTTCGTAGCCATCTTAGCTCTAGGCTCTAGAGTCTAGGGTCAAATGTACGTTTGGGTAGCATCTTTCCAGCTAATGTCGGGTCGTGTTGACACAGGAGAACGACAGGAGGCACCGGGCATAGACAAAGTAGCGAGTCGCCAGTGGCGACTCGCATTGAGCGATATACTCAATCAGGCCTTCAACCGCATCCTGGCCCAGGATTCCTGGGAGAAGTCCCGAAAGGAGAGGCGCCTATATGGGAGGATTTCGTCCGGGTTCACAACACGGCTCCTGCCCTTAGGTTATCACCAGCGGTTAATTTATGTCAAATGATACGGTCGGTTTGTAGCTTTGCGGAGGCGACCCATCACCTGCAACCTAATTTAGGTTACCTAAAGCGTCACCAGATCGGACTCGACAAGTGTCGGATGACCAGCCTGGTCAGACCAGGGATATCTACGGCGTTGACCTAGCATTACTGAGTGAGCATCTAATTTCCCGGAGAAATCTGTCGTGTGCTTCCGCGCTGATAAGGCGATCTCCCCAGTGTCGATCCGCAAGGCCGTCAGTGATCTCGATGCTAAGGAAGTGCATGTTCATGTCCACAAACGTGAGCACCGGTACGGGTTCGATACCTCTGACAACAAGGCCGAACCCTTGAAGCTGATCAACAACAGTATTCCCACGAGCTCCGAGGGAACGTCTCAGGGTCTGAAGATCCGATCATTCGTACTCGCGGTAGGCCAGTTATGGAGTCGGCAAACTGATCGAGGCTCCATCTCCGAGAGGTGGTGAAGGAGTCTGAAATACTAACAACGCTCCCTGTGGAATTACTGATCCATGTGACTACGTCTATGAACCACTTGAATCTTCTGTGCATGGCGATAAAACCCATCATACCGTTAATTCAAGTGCGAGCCGTAATACTTGCCGCGATGCGGATACCAACCCTACTATCATTGACGGTCCGTCACTCCTTTGAATATGTGAGTATTCAATATCGTCATCAGTTTTCCAAGACCGTGTATACTCAGATAGACCTTTACTGGGCGCTGTGCCTAGTATTACTGTGACCCCCCCCCACAGTTGGTCCATTTACCGAATCTGAAACTGATTGTGTGAACAATGGCTCCTCAGGGCCAGTACCGGGAATCGTATTATCTTTTCGGGTAACATGTTCTCCACTAGTCGTGACCGCAGATGTGCATAGTGTTTTCTATATGTTGCGTCTGTGCAGTTCTTTCAAACCTTCTCAGTCCGGATCAGCCGATCCGCGGAATGGTGGACCATGAGGATTGCTTACCGGAGTTTGCCTTGCACTGTGGCAATGACAAACGATACCTAGGACATAGCAGTAGGCTTCGAATGTCTGTTCGGCCCAGATCGAACAAATCCAATCATTCCGTACGTCAACGTTATGCGATATGGTGGTGAGTTGTATAGCACACTTTGTTGATGATCGGTTGTTACACTTCTCAACGGAAGATGCATGCAAGATTGTATTCTTACTAGCGATATATCACCTTACCCATCCCTGTGTGGATTCGCAGCCTCTGTCTTGAAATTTGCTATATTCGTCTATCAATCCGTACGATCCCAGGTGGCGCCTCTTCACCCATACATTCGAGAGTCTATGGCAGTGATTGACGTCTAAGACGTCACATCTTGATTTCTTACGATCAGGGGGAACTGGTGAGTGATTGCAATCGACGATCTGGACTGGAGAATGCTAATAAACTGTTAGAAACGGATTGCTGGTCTTGCCAGGTTGTTTAACGTTTTGCTGGTGCCCTGGGGATGGATATGGCCGGGCTCCATGCTGGAGTCAACTCGTTATGTGACACAGCCCGAAGACTCTTCGGACGTATACCGCGAACGACGTCCTGGCCGACTAGGCTGAATGATGAGGGTCTTACTCCGAGACAGCGATAGTGCTGGCGGCGTACCCGCGAACAGATGATAGTCTATATCAGTGAAGGCTCTGAGCATCTATATCATCATGGGGCCCCAATACTCTCAACATCGGAGACGAGATGCCTGATTCTGCAAACTGATTCTAGTGGCTCGGATGATGGTTATTACATTTATCTGGAGCTCCCGTCGGGAAAAGAGGTGCCACTGATGACCGACGGCTGGATATGGTCTCCTGGTCAAACCAGATACCACTCTTATCGACAGTAGTTGATCAGTCTCTCCCGTCACGGGAGTCCCGTGGGGTCGCCAGTGTCGCTCGGGTGCTCCAACAACTGCAGTCGACCCAATACCAGCCCCGCAAGCCATTAGAACAGTGGTTGAACCTGACAATTGGATGTGATAGCGTTGCGTCTGTCCGCTGGTGCCAAACTACTGCATCTACGTTGAAGGTAACGGCACTCAAGAGAGACGCCATTATACGGCTGGTCGCGGCTTTTGGCTCTCAACTGCAGGTCATCAAGGCTGTAGTCCCATATGAGATACGTCATCTCCCAGGAGTAGCTAACACGAGAGCGGATGGGTTGAGCAGAGTGTTGGAAGCGTCTATCCCGCGGGCTTCGGCACCTATACATACTTTGCTCAGCAAAATCTGATCTCCTGCCACGACCGCCTGCAGCAAAGTTTGCTGCAAGCGGTCGTGGCAGGAGATCAGACTGAGGTTGGAAGGAAGAAGAAAGGTCTATCCGAAACGGCCGTCGGCCGAGAAGATGCACGCCGGTCGGTAACCGACCTCAGACTCCCACGCTGGATATAACTTGGCGGTACATCTGGTGGAGGAGTGTCTTTCCTTTATTGTTCCTGATCTACAGTCAACTACATTCATTGATAAGTGCCGCCTAACCAGAGACTCGTCAGCGGAGCCGAGTGCGTCTCCGGGTTTTCCACTCGCTCGTCGTCTGAAATAATGAACCTGGGGGGCAAGAGATATGTTCTATTTGGTGGCGGTTATGCGATGGTGTCTTCGGACATGGAAAACTCTTGCCCGTGACCTCAATTCTGACACTTTCACAGATTATCCTACTGTATCGAATCGTTCGGATCTGTTAGTTGTCATTCGTAGTAACCAACAGTCTGGTCTCAGCTTACCCACCTCCAGTGATGTAGGTCGGGGAACGGGGCCTTACTCCCGTATTCATGATGTTGTCCGCCTTCGCTCGGCAGCACCAACGAGGATTGTAGAGTATGCACCGTATGTTTCATCGTATATGCAGGGTTTTCTCCTCAGAGACATTCATCGTTCCAACGTCGTTGGACCAACGATTATTGCTCTCCTCCGTATTCGCGGTCTCAATTGCTCACTGGGTATTGACGTACCTGTGTGACTGTAGCAGGTAGACAGATTTGTAGAAAATAGTGCGTCTTATGTATTCGTTTCGACCGTAAGGCTAGATGGACATTACCGGTTGGGGACCGATATTCGATATTCGTACTCTCCTTACCACTCCTTCGTATCGGCCTCATGAGGCCATTGGAATCGATTATGTCACTATTGAGCGTGTTGAAGTAGTGAACTTCTGTTGTGTGGCTACGCGTTATAGGACTCTTATTTACACTCCCACGGAATCTACTACAGGTCTCATCATGGCATTCCAAGAGTTTGTTATGTTATGGGGGACCCCCCAGTTGGTCCTCAGTCATAGTCTATGACTCATAGATCATCTATTGAGAGCCAGAACCCAACGTCGACCAAAATATTAGAGAGACTTAACTTATAATCATCACTGGTAGGCAAATGACTACAGCTTAGCTCAGCGATGATACGCTGAGAATCAACCACAATGGGACAAATATCACGAGAGACAACAATTGACACAAGCCGAATCTCACAGACCTTCACAGCATCCTACTCCAAAAGTTCTCAATGGAATCAGTTCTTTAATGACCACAATATTCTCTCTTGGTTGAACGCTGCCGTTGCTCCGTGGGAAAGGTCGTGTTATGAAAGGCTGCATGGCGTTGTGAGGACTTTTCTCAGACCGATGTTGTTGATACCTTATACCCGTTGTATGCTCCGGGAGTTCGACCCCCGGGGTATGCAGGATGTTCGTTCTTTACGTCCACTCCTGCTAGAAGTGTCGTTGCTGCTCAACACCCGTCCTCTGACTATCAATTGTGAGGATGGGGTCATAACTCCTGACTCTCTGGTCAAGGACCCCTGGACCAGGGGTACACTCGGTCTACGCCTAGTCGTCGATTACCTCTCCATTGCCATCTCCTATTGTTGAAGCAGACGAAGTTATTCCGGCCGCACCCGATTCTGTCGGCACAGCGGTTGTACCTATCAGTTCTTCTGCTGGCAGCATGTACTAGAACTCAACCACTCTTCTCGTTGTAGGAGAGAGTAAAGGAGTAAAAACCAGTATGAATACAATTATTGGGAATAGGGAATCACTAATCAGCTTAACTTCAGCTTATCGATATCTTGTCGTCACGACACAGCGCACAATCCTATATCATTCTCTCACATTCCCTCCTCCTGATGGGCTATATCTATCAGGGGGGCGGAGAATATTACGAGGTCGTAATTTGTGCCCATCATAACCACGATCAACCGAAACATCATCATCATCATCATCATCATCATCATCATCCACCTCCTCCACTTGGGGAGCAACGGGTGAAAATATCTCAACAGTATCGTCCTCATCATCGATGTCACTACTGTTAGGGCCGATCTCTTTACTCAAATTAGCTACCTCAGGAACCACCAAAGAGGTGTGAACATTCAGCACTTTCGACGATCTATCTCTCCGCTTTAGTTGCACCATCGTAAGAGACACTAATCGAACCACCTCAAAGCCGGATTCATAAGCAGGTAGTAACTTCGCATGACGGTCATCACGACGCAACATAACAGCCATCCCAGGCGTTAAATCAATAATAAGGGGATCCTTGTTAACAGGGTTCACAACCGAAGAAGCCAGCATATCGTCTATATAATCATTAAACCATGCTCGTTGATGAATCTGTCGATCAACCCATGAAGACAAGTCCCAAGAAAACTCCGAGACAGATGGAGTCGGATACAATGCTGGTTGCCAACCATACATTGCCATGAACGGGGATATCCCGAGGGTGGACGTCTCCCGAAGCCTGTAATGATATAAAGCTTGTTGGACCAATAAATCTATCTCATCGATCGATTCCGTAGATTCCACTATCTTACGCAGTATACCAACAATAACCTTGTTAGCACGCTTAACGCTACCCTGCGATTGAGGATGTCTAGCAGCTCCTCGACGGTGACTTATATGGTAATAACCACACAGCTGTTCGATGTATTGGTTGTTCATCTCTGGACCATTATCCGTCCTCAACGTCGATGGACCCCCAAACCTATAAAATAGCCGTACTAAACCGTTA